TCAAACTGATTTATTTGGGAAGCTGAACACGGTATGAGAAACTAGAGGGTTCAAGCTTTCTAACAAGCACCCCAGCATTCCTGGAAATTTAGGACTTCGAAAATTAGTCCCGTTGGGACTTTTTTGGGGGGTTCGCGGAACTATTTTTCTGAAACCGCGACTTTTCATCCTTTTAGCGTTTGTTCAAACTGATTTATTTGGGAAGCTGAACACGGTATGAGAAACTAGAGGGTTCAAGCTTTCTAACAAGCACCCCAACATTCCTGGAAATTTAGGACTTCGAAAATTAGTCCCGTTGGGACGTTCTTGGGGGTTGCGGAACTATTTTTCTGAAACCGCGACTTTTCATCCTTTTAGCGATCATAACTTAGTTCAAACTGATTTATTTGGGAAGCTGAACACGGTATGAGAAACTAGAGGGTTCAAGCTTTCTAACAAGCACCCCAACATTCCTGGAAATTTAGGACTTCGAAAATTAGTCCCGTTGGGACTTTCTTTTGAAGGGGCATTCTTCAAGTCATTTTCTTAAGAACGTGGGTTTTTCTAGGTTTCACAGGCCGCAACCTCCTGGGAAAACAATATCGTTTCGACCATAGGATGTGTTAGAATGCTTCGAGCACGTGCTTGCAGTGGCATACTCTGCTTCGGTGTGCGCCATGTCTCGGCCGCGCTTCCTGATTCGATTGAAAGGTCATTTAGAAGGAACCGGATTACAGATGCTCTACTATCAATTTTCTTGCGTAAACAAAGTGGTGGACCATGGTTTCTTAGGCAGTACTCCAGCTAAAAATTAGTTTCATATATGCGAGATAGTACGACCCCCCCCTCCAACCTAAACCAAGTACGACGCCCCTGTTGGTACTTGTACCAACGTAGGGTTGACCCTGCCTGTGGCCACCGGTCGGATAGCACAGAGGCAGTGCTCGCCGTTGGCGAGCGCGCCATTCAAGCAAGGGTACCAAGGGATCGGATCCCTCGCGGCACAAAACTTTGCAAACGCCAGGAACTCTTCCGTTCTTGACGCAAGCAAATCGCCGTTCATTCTGTGCGAGTCCGGCCGGTTCTTAACCCATTCGTGACAATGGCAGCCACCGGTGACTGACATGGATCTCACTTGTACAATGGTATTAACCGGTGGTTGCCGTGTTTCAAATGGAAAGTTTTCTTTCCTTAAAAGAATCTTCATACCCTCAATCATCTATGCCTGCCTTGGGCATGGGGAGTCTCCATCCACTCGAATTTTATTGGAGAAAAATCTCCTAACTCTCCTGCTAATGCGCAAACCGGCGCGCTCGCGAATGGGTTAAGCGTCCAACCTCTCCTCCGTCTCTCCGACTCAAGGAGCGACGGGGGCCCTCCAGTTCCCTCACAAGCAGGGGAACTGGGGGGCTACAGAACCCCATAATCAAGGGCGGTTTTGATTGGAGAGGTCAAAAGGCGATAGGACACATCGGTCACTGAAAGCATCAAGGGCGGTTTTGATTGGAGAGGTCAAAAGGCGATAGGACACATCGGTCACTGAAAGCCACAATAAGTCTTAGAACCGGGCCCGTCGGGCCAAACATCTATGGGCGAGAAAAGAGGTTAACTTTTTAGTGCTTATTACAACGATTTTCATCCTTTTTTTTAAAATGTTTTCTTAATCTCGGAATGAAACTTTTAGTTAGAAGGCGTACGCAAATCATTCGATTGTGGTACCACATCCAAATCCAACTCACCGGTGGTATCTCGCGCCGCAAATACCATATATTTAACGTCCCAACACAACTTCAATCACTACGAAAACACGGCGGCGGCTTCACATACGACATCTCATATTCGGGTGCACCCATCTGCAACTTCACAATTAACGCAAACCAACGGGACGAACGCAATACTTCACTACACTATTCCTCGAGCTCGGCAAATCCGCATTTGCAAGGACGGTTTAGACCCCCATCACGGGAAGCGCTTAAAATTTCGATGAACTTACAGACAAAGACTACCGTACAAGAGGACCAAAAAAATTGTTTGCGGGCTTTTGAGTGGGAAAGTACAGAGCTATGAACTTTGGAAAACAACGAAAAAAGTTTCACCGAAAAGGAAACAGGATCACGGTCGTCTTTGTCTGGAGTCGACCATGCGAACGAAGTTTTTCATGCGCTGGCTAGCCGTTCTTCTGCCGAAAGCGACTGGCCAGCACGCCTCGGCACGATAGAGCCAAGCGCACAAAGGGACCACCTGCTCCAGGACTTGCCAACAGCGAAGGGTGAACCACTCGCTGCTACCAGTAAGCGAGCGCACGCAGCGAGAGGTGCTAAATTTCTCCTTATGCAGAAAGACTTATTATTAACTGAAGTTTATCCTTGAGACATCAAAAGAACATGAGTTCGACGGTGGTCCGCCGAGTAAGGCATCATAAAAAGGCACAACTACACAAAAGAACAAATACATACAGACAGGAGAGCAAGCACCACATAGGTGGGATCACTAGTATTCGAGGGAGCAGGGTTTCGCCAAAGACATGGAGGAGGAGGTCGGGATCCGAGCGTCCTCGGTCCGAGAAGCAGGTCGACTTCTCGAAGAAGTTGGTCGCTCCATCAACACGCCCTGAGAGCAACATATGAGTCTACGTCAAAGAATCTGAGCTGCGCCTGCAAGGCGCTGCACTAACACAACCTAGATTTTCGACTTTGTAACGAAGTGCAGAAGAAAAAGATTACAAGTGATCAGAGACTTCAAAGTATCACAGATAAAAAAGTGTCCTCATTTGTTGACTCTATAAGAGGAAACTGGCTCACTTCCTCCATGATTAGCATGAAAATTCTGATTAACACTTCAACTGCGTATATTATAACATTAACTTTCAAAGAAAATTTGATTCCCGTACCCAGATTGATAAAGTTGTATTATATTCTTACAAACTCTTGACACTCTTCGATAATATCCACATCACGAGTTTGCCAGAGGACGCATTCAATAAAATCTCAACCAATTGCGTTTAATTCGTCTTGAAAAAAATCAATACGGAGTTTCTGTTTGGTGATAATAAATATAATACATAAAAAGCAAACAGGATAAGGAAAGTTTGTCCAGCAATCATTAACTGCCACATTGTTCTGGAATATTCTGTTTGACTTTCCACTCCCCATTCCCCTAATAAGGGTATAAAAGGTCTGTGTGGTGTCAGAAGGGCATTGCCACTAAAACACCGTAATAGCATGCTACGTTGCCACGAATTCGCTACTTGGTAGGTAGTAGGATCTACCTTTTCAATTTTTTCTAGCCCGGATCACTCATTCATAGTAAACGCTTTCAGACGCGTCCTCGTCCAGCATCTGATGGGCATCTGTAAGTACCATGCTCATGGAAATCATAAGTCGAAAATTTTGCAAAAGGCACAATTTCAGCCATGTGCTCGACGCCGATGGAAATGCATGATAACTAAGACCGAGGTTTTCGTTGATCAACACAATATGTATCGGTGCGTCTCTTTGAACGAGACTTCCACTAGGCAAATGGGTAGTAAGTCGAATTATCTTTAACGTCTAGCTCACAAATTGATGCCAAAAGGACAAGCCAAAATGAATCTCGGCGGTTAACGCTCCAAAGGCGGCAAGGGATGCTGAAGATGGTACGACTGGCGATGAGTTGTCCTAGTATTTTCTGCGATTAACAATAAGGATTTGAGAACGCGTAGATGACACTAGGGCTTCAAAGGATGTAGCTTTCAGTTCTTGCTTAACAATCATCATTTTAGACTTATGATTGTGATTGAAGCAAATCAACGATTGCAAGTATGTCAAAAAATGCGGTTTTTGAGCAGCGCCTCACGTCAAGAACGGACTACCTGGGGGCCAGAGCACATATGGAGTATAGGCGTACAACAATGAACAAAACTGCGTCCTGCAATGATACGTGAGAATGTGGATGCTTCACATGGCAATTACTAAGGCATAGGTAACCACGCTCATTTCAGGCTGTTATGGATTGGTTCTTGAACTACCAATTGTTTGTGTTCCTGACGACGTTTGCAATTTCTCCATGGAACTTGATATATAGAGGCGTTGGCCATTACTACCCAGGTGCGGATTTGAAGCAACGACATATCCGATGAACAAGAAATAGAAGTTGTTTTCAGTTGGGCTGCAAGTGGAGTAACAAGATTGAGCGCGGTGTTATTGGTGCCTGACCTGACATTCGCCGCGTGCGAGTAGTAATCCCGCCGTAAGTGGCATTGCTGGCTAAATAAGAAGGCCCACTTCATTTGTCAAGTGTTTAGTGGAAATCTTCTGTGGTTCTGTCGTTTTTCACGCCAAAGGAAGATCCATGTCCAACTGACGGGTGGCCTCGACCGCCCTGCCCAGTGGCAACGGTTGGTTTGCAGCAGAGATGCGGCGCTTATGCATTGCCCCAGCACATTGATTTAGCTGTAATTCTCCCACCCACTTTTTCAAAGTTTGGGTGTGCTTTGATCAGTTTCAAAGGATTCATCACAGTCAAAATAAAAGGTTTTTGTAAACAATGGCAAGCAGACCATCTCGTGCTATGCTTATGACAGGTGGTCCCAAAATTATATGAGGGTACCGCGTGCGCACGCGGTCATATCCACTCCTTTTCCGAGTCGCTCCATTTCCATTTCCTTTCTGTGACCATGTGGTTAGAGCTACACTGTACTTCTTTCTTTCAAACTACCTTCCATGCAGGTTCTCAAACCAACTGAACGAGCAACCCCATTCTTCCAATATTCATATCCTCAAATTGAACTCGCTAAGGGCTCTGGCACGTTACATCTAGCGACAGTCTAGAGGTTAGCAAGCTCAATGTTGCAACAGTTCAACTCTTCAATAAGTATTGGAACCACCACAGATGGAAAGATTCAGTGACGTCGAAAACTTACAGCTCCTACTTAAGACAACTATCAGGTGCCGAACTTGCCTGGTCGCCCTGTCCAACTTTTCGTACCCGCACCATGAAAAAATCAATCGTGAAACTCAGCGACAAAAACAGACACTTTTAAAGACTCCACATTATCTAGTGATAGAACGCCGCACGAGTAAGTCTACTTAGAACTTCCACAGGACTACACCCAAGAATAAAGTCAAAAATTCTCTAAAAAGCGATTTTTCCGAGTTCCGCGGATGGCTTTCGAAGGAATTGTTACACTTGCGTCTTCGCACCTGACTATCTCATCCTATTGCTGTATTTCACACCCTGGACTGCAGGTTGTAAATAAATGGACACAACACGTTCAAATTCTGAAAAAGGCAGAGCGGAAGGTCCTGGAATAAATTTTGGACACTGCCTCTAGTTGCGTGCCAGACCGCCGCGCCATCCCCTCCGAGGCCTCGATGTTACACGGCCGAAGTGGCAGATCCCATTCTATTCTGGTAATTACTTTGAGGATTCGAGTTTGAAACACAAAACAACAGGTTTTGCTAAACAATTGACCATGCAGCATCGTTGGTGCTAGGATTGTAGTTAATCGATTTTACATCGGTGCAAGGGAGGCGTCAAAAGTTGACAAACCGCATAGTTTCTAAAATACCAAGCTTACCATTTAGCCGGTGAGGAGAAAATCGCCTTACGAAGCAGATCACAATCACAGTTGGACTGAGGATGCAATAACGCATTATTTTTCTTTGACATTGAATGGTCTTTGAGGCTGCTCAACGCAGGACCACAACTCTCCAATACTTCCCATGATTTCTGGCGAGTTACGTCCAGTGTAGTCTAGGCTGCCTGAAATATTTCTTGAACGAAGTCGGCTCGGCCGGGATTGCAGCACGTTCATGGTAATGATGTTACATATAAACATACTATAAGTTCGAAAATTCAGCACAATGATCCAGATTTCCTGATTCGTCTGAAAAGTTATAGAAACAGTTAGGCTCACTAACAAGCCGAATCTTGGTCTTCAACAGGTGTTTCCTTGACACTTTCTCTCCGAAACCCTCTAATGCGTATTCAACCCACATCACAAGTCAGGCAGCAATTATCGCAGTGAGTATTCACGGTTTTTCCGACACTCGTCTTAGCGACTCCCCAATTCGCAGAACTTACATAACGAGATCATACCGTACCCTACAAATGGAAATTGTGCTTCAAAAAATGAATGTCATAGTTTTTCATACTAGGACAATCCCGGAAGAGATCAGTGAGCAGAAGGTCGCTGCTGCCCATAATTCTCAATCTTTCAGCAATTGTTTTAAAAGTTTGAGGAGCATTGTTCTAAAAGTTTTGAGAGTTGAACCTGGCTCAGAATACAGGGTATCCTGGTCCACAAACAAAATGTCAACCACTGTATGTCGCGAAAAATATCTCGCTCGTCGCTTGATCTGGAGTATCATGAACGCTAGTCAAATATTCAGTGGACGGCCATCACATATTTTAATCCACATAAAGAAGCTGACAGAAGCTAGCGACGAGGTCCTGCACAAAGACGACTCATTAAAAAGTAAACAATACTGCGCAGGCAAATCTTCTTGAAATTCCTTTGTGATCCCTCGAAAGATCAATACGAAAGTTCCAATCGTTGGATACTACATACAGTAACATAAAAAACAAGAGAGCTAAGGGAGCTGATTCAGCAATCATAATTGTCATATTTTCCGAAAAATTCTGCTTTGAACAGCTCCACTCCACCTCCGTAATAACTTCCCTATCGTCCCATGGGACCCAGATGATTCTGTCCACTTTCGTAACAAACACAATCAATAGGTATGTACAGTATAGAATAGATATTCTTGTAAGAAGAAACAGAATTCGAAAGCAAGTTGTGCTGACGAATGCGAAGGGCGACATGAATGAAGTTTCACCATTCAGATCAGCGTGCAAAATTATTCACACGTCAAGCCGCACAGGTTTCATCTCCTGAGCCTCTATGGTATTTCACACTAAGCACTGAGGCTGTGTTTCACTATGGGCAGTCACCGGTATGAGCCACATTGGCTCTTCTAAACAGGCTCCATTACTATATCTGCCAATCACTATCTCTAGTAAACCTAGGTCCTCTTTCCTACGGACAGGGTCAGCCGTCATTTTCGGGATTTTGCGACCCCTAGTCTCGAGGAGTCTAGTAGCGAACCCCTATTTTTGTTAATTAAGGGTGCAAGGCATGAATCCGTTGAGCCAGGAACCCGCAGAAAGCGTCTGCTTTGCGGCGTCAAGCTTGGGGCGAGCGGAAGATCACTCGGGCGCAGTAGATCGGGACGCGGCGAAGAAATTTAGGGAGGAATAACTTTCTTAAGACGTACTTTTTTTGAGTTGTTGAGGTAGATTTGACTGTGCCTGAGGTGCGTTTCAGAAACTACAAGGACGCCTAACCTCCGGAAAGCACTTCTGTTAGAAGTGGGATACCCAAAATTCTAAGAAGGCGCACCTTCATCTTTGAGCCCATAATATCTTTTCGTGTGACGACCTTCTGGAAACCTGTAGAAAGTTCAGAAACTTCAAACCTTTATCTATCAAGACAGGTGTCAAAAGCTGGGATTAGCCTTTCAAAAAAACCAGTTGGCGCCGCACGCATTGCGCGCGCACACAGATCTGTGGCGAATTTTGATGGATGGCGCAAAACGAAAAATTTCTAATTTGGCTTGATACAATACGAATATCTGAATTTCCGCTAAATTCTATGCGCTCTTTCTTCGTCAACCATTTATCCTATTTTCTCGTTCTCGACCCGGACATAAAATCTCGTGGCGAACTCCCGTCTACTTCGGTGGCCGTTCCTGCCGACCAATAGCATTTGCTCCCTTTTTGCTCGACCTCTACCCCTTTTCAACCGGTCTCCTGGCCGTCTTGGTAAGCAAATACGGACACTTTTGGCAAACACTCGCCGCACTTTAGCTGCGTGCTCTCACCCAGTGATAAGGCAGTTAGCGTCTTCTCCCAACGCAACCCTCTAACCCCCCTTTCCCTATCTCTAGACCTCTTGGTCAAGCGAATGCGATCTTTCGGCAAACTCCGCCCACCTTTGAGTGCTGCTCTACCACATAATAGCATTTGACCTCCTTCCTTCGCCCGACCTCTACTCCCTTTTTCACACAGCCTCCTCGACTTCTGGGCAGAGTATTATTTTCGTCGCAAACGTCCCCACTTGGTTATGTCCGCTCCCCGCCATGACACTGGCCCTCCACTCCTCACCACCTTACCATGCGCCACTTTTCCGCGGCCTCAGGACTCTCTTGGACAACTCATGGAATTTCCGTCGCAAACTCCAGCCCACTTTGGCCAAGCCGCACCTACCAACTAGCCTTTGACCTCCACTTTCCCCCCCAACTATATCTTCTTTTTTCGCTCCACTTCTCCGGACCTGGAACAGAGTCTGAATTATTCGGTCGCAAAACTCACCCCACTTTGGTCAAGCTCCGCCCACCGCATTGAGCAGCTTGGCCTCCACTTCCCCTCACCACTCTCCATCCACCCTTTCCCGCCTCCGGCTTCTTGGAGCACGAGTTTATACTTTCCGTCGCAGAACTTCTCGGCCACTTTGGTCAGGCCCCGACCACCCAAAATGACAAATTAACCTCCACTCTCCACCCCCTCTATCCACATTTTCCCCCGCAGGCCTCCGAGCTTCATTGAGCCGAGTTATATAATTTCGTCGCTCAAACGTCCGCCCACCTTTGGTCAGGCCCGACACCAATGACCATTAACCTCCCTCCTCCACCAACTCTATCCACTTTTCCCACCTCCGGAGCTTCACGGAGCCGAGTTATAAATTTCGATTGCAACCCGCCCACTTGGGTCAAGCCCCGCCACCAACGACATTAATGCTGCCCCCTCCACTCCCCAACCCACCTCTATCACCTTTTTCCGGCTTGCTTTAGGACTTTCCGACCCGAATTATGAGGGCTTGTAGAAAATCGTACACTTCACGACGGCGCCCCGCGCCCTTCTGCGTCAGCCTCCGCCCCAACGTCAATGTATGCGGAAACACCTTAGACATTGCTCCCTTACACTGAATGTTTTCTGCCTGTAGGCTTTCCTCCCAACCGAGTTATGAATTTTCCTAAAGCCACTGCTTTTTTAGAAGAACCGCCCCGCCCACCGGGGGTGGG